ACACACACACACACACACACACACACACACACACACACACACACACACACACACACACACACACGGCAGGCCGAGGGCAGAGACAGACAGACATACACACAGAGACAGACACACACACACACGGCAGGCCCACGGCAGAGACACGCGTGCGCGCAGGAGGCCCAGGGCCCAGATGCCACCGGCAGCACACATCCGCCCAAGGGAAGGCTAGGCCCTTCTAGCTGAGCCAGAGGGAGCTGGCCACAGATCCCCACACCCCCTCTGCTACTCCTTTCCTATTCACCCTCATCAACAGAATGGAAGGCCCCACGAGGCAGTCATCCTGTGGAAAGAAAAACCTTGGGGCACATACACCCAATTACTAAATGAGGTTATTTCTGGGGGGTGGAATTACACATTTATCAAGTTCTAGAACTAATCTATGAGCAGACTGTGGAAGGTGAAGTGAGCATTGTCTGGGAAGGGGCATGAGAAACTTTCTGGGGTGAGATCGGCTTTGTATCTTCTTAGAGGTCTGGGGTAAGGTGAATGCACTCACTGGTCAAAACCCAAGGGGTCACTTGAAATTTGGGTACCTTATTGTATGTAAATTTTACCTCAAATGGGGGGAAAATTAACTCCAAACAAAAGTAGAGAAAGAACAGAGGCTTTGACAGAACATGGCTGTCTTAACACCAGCTAACATTTACTGGGTACTGCCCTATGCCAACTGCACTCGCCCTGCTGACCTTCCTGCCCCCAGGAGCCTGTGTGCTCTGTAATCTCCCCACTCTCATCTTTGCCTATACAGCCTCTGCCCCAGCACCCACCCCAACTGCTCACCTCTCACCTCCCCATGAGGCAGGAAGGTCAGAGGCCGGAAGTGTGGAGGGACATGTTATCTGTGGTCATGGGTGTGATCCCCTCCCCACTGCTGGTTTCCAGCCCACCCACGGTACCAGTTCAGCCTCATGAGCCCATGGGCACACTGTAAGTGGCTCATGAGGGCAGAGTGACCATGGCGGAAGGACCCTGTCCCTCCTGGCTCTTCCCTGTATGGGCAGCCCTCGTGTGTCTCCAGCAAGCAGTAGAAGCCCCAAGCCAAGGACACCCCTCAGGTCTGCCCCTACATTCCCCAGGCAGCCTTGATCCCTGGTCCCACCCCACCCCACAAACACACACCAGCCAAAAGGCCAACAAGGATGGTAGAGGTGGGGCCCATTACCTCCTGACCCATGGAACAACACCCCATGGGGGCCCCCACCTGTCCACAATCCCAGGGGCAAGCAAGGCAAGGCCCCACCCACCTTAGGCAGTCCACATGGCCGCAGGAACTCATGAGGCTCGAATAGGGCCACCTCGAGGCTTCTCCTCCTAGCTCCCCACAAAAAGCAGGACAGCGTGCTCTGGCCTTGCACCTTTCGAAGGCCATGAGAGGAGGTTTTAAGATGAAAGTGATCCAAGCTTAAGCAGAAAGCCAAAAATGACTTAACTCCAGCTCCCCTCACCCTGTACCCCATTCTGACAGGAGCTGCCCCAACTCAGCCTGGACACCCACTATGCCCAGGCCCAGGGCTTCAGGAAGCCCGGGCACTCAGAACTGCTCCAGTCATTTAGCCCCCAAGGGGTGCCCTCTGGAGACCAGGCTGACAGCCCTGGGGACAAAAGAGCACATCCCATGCCCACCTCTAGCCCCTCCAGTGAGGGTCACACTCAGGGTGTGGATTCACAGCTGGACTCCTGACCCTCATGAGTGGTGCCCCCCAACGAGAATGCTGTCCCTTTACTCAATGCCTGAACTTCTCCAGGCAGGAACGAACCCTCACAGAGGCAACCACAGCCACTTTGATTAAAAACCTGCCTGAGTTTAGCAAACATGCCCCAGCCCACACCCAGCCAGGATGCAGGGCCCCCCACCTCCCTCCCTGGAGGCCTTTCCTCAAGAGGCCTGGAGCTATCCTGGGGGACCAGGAGAAACTCCTGCCCAACCTACCCTAAGGCACCCAACATGAGACTGTTCCTCTACCTTAACCACCTCCTGGTCAAGGAACACCTAGTCACCAGTAACAGAGTGACACATGAATCATCCAGCTGAGAGTGGGGGACACTGCTCATTACCCACCCAGAGCTACGCTGCCAGGTAGGCACAGGAATGCCATGGTGAGGGGGTAGTGCTGGGTGGCAGGTTCCATATCCCCAGGGTTTAAGCACATTAGGCTGTGTCAGAGGCCCCCAGATATGCTGGCCACTGCCTCCAAGCCTGAGTCCCAAGTCAGGATTGGCCCTTGCCCCAGTCAATTCCCACTGTGGTCGCCTGGTACTCCAGATGTGGCCCCAAGAGGTGCAGCACTGGCTCTGCCCTGAAGGCCTGGCTTCTCTGTATCTACAGGAGGGCAGAGTGAATAATGCCTAGAGGGTACAAGCAGCCCAGGATCCAGAAGAGCCTAAGGCCCAGCCCCTACCCACCCAGCAAGCCTGCACACCCACAAGCCCGCTCATCCCATCCCTATGGCCTCTTCTCTACTTAACCGAGGGTTCCTTTGTGAAGCCTTTCCCATCCCAACAAGGCCAGGAGCCTCTCTCCTTTGCTACTGCTTAGGCCACACCTCGCCCTGTGTCAGTCTGCCCTGTGAGAGGGAAGCCTGCATATGGAGAAGACTCCAAGGCGTTAGTTACCTCCACCTCCAGGGACAGTTAAGACAAGGTTCTGGGTGGTAAGCAACTCCAAAGTTATAAGAGCAAACAGGTGGCAGTGAGGACGCAAAGCATGACTCCAGAGCTGCTGCCAGACTTTCCCTATCCCCGGGAAAAGATACCCTGTGCTCCTTCCCCCAGGCAGGCGCAGGGGTGCTACTCACAGCAGTGCTGCCCTCCACATGGAGCCACAGAGGGCCTTGGTCACACCTCCACCCTCACTCTCCCCTCCCCCACCACCCACCTCACCTAGACTGTGTCCTTGTCTAGGGTGCAGGATCAGCGCAGCCCCTCCACCACCCTAGGGCGGTAAGGAGCTTCTGGACTGAAGTCACAAGGTGGGGCCTGTCATGTAGCCTACTTGGGGCTCCAGCTGCTCCTCTGGGAACACCCCTGGCCTCCGTGACCTCTCTGGCCTGTCCCTCCAGGCATGGGCTGGTGGTGGGTGGGACTCAGAGCTCTGGGCAAGCCCAGCCGTGTAATCTGGCCCAGATTTGGATGCCGGCCAGCAGCTCCTGGCTCTTCTCCCAGACCATCCTCCTGGAAAGCAACAGGCTCCGCGAATGCCAGGAGACCAGACCTCCCTCTGACATAGCTTCTATGAAATAAACACTCAGGTTCCACTCAGCACGTTGGTGACGTGGTGGTGGGGTCCATGGTCTGGCTTTCCTCTCTACCCCTCGTGTCAGCCCTGTTGTTCACCCACCAGCTCACCCTGACCAGAGAGGTGGCATCCACCCCAACTCGACTTGAGTCTGTCCTGAAAATCCATCCCCCACCCCTCCCACTGAAGACCCTGTGCTGCCCATGCTGGGCCAAGTCCTTCCTGGGCCCCGACCACCTTCCCATCTATTCCACTCCCATCTGAGGGGTGGAGAAGCTTGTGGGTACCTCACCACCAGGAGACAAAGGCAGGAAAAGTGCTGTTTTGCAGGCAAGCCTGGCAGGAGGCTCCACACTGCCCCACACCAGGCTCCGTGACCCTCAAACCTCGCTTCTCCAGGGTAGCCTTGGGTCCTCTCCTCCTCCCACCAGGCCTGCAACCCTCCCGTCACTCCTGGCTTTGGAGCCAAAGAGGAGAAACGAGGCCAGGACGACCTGGGAGACCTGCAGCTGGATTTCCCCTGCTGATGCTGGCACAACTGGCTAGCTGGCACCAGGAAAGATGAAGGGCAGAGTCCTGCCAGGAGCGCCCCAGGCCTGACACAGTCTGGCCAAGAGTTCTGAGTTGGGCCAAGATCATGAGTGCTACTGGGGAGAGGCAGGTGAGCACTGCTCAAAGGGAAATAATAATTTCAGATTATGATTACGATTATTATAAAAACTATGTTCTCCTCCAGACTCTGTTCCCCACATTGCACTGCCCACTGTGGGGGGGCCTGAGCTGTAGGTAAAAGGCTCACTAGCAGTGACAGAACAGGAGCCTACAGATGGCAGAGCCTGTGGGAGGCTGGCAGGGTGAGTCTGCCAATCAGACAGCAGAGCAGGAGAAATCAGCTCACTCTATAGGCTGGCAACAAGCGAAAATCCAGAAGCCACTTCAGCCAGGAGGCAGACAGGCCCGGTGTGCTGGTTCCTGTGCCCCCAGTCCACTTCCTACTTGTCTTGCTCTTCACAGGACTTGGTCCAACAACCAGCAGCAGCACCCAGGATCTCTTGAAAAAACCAGAACCCACATTTTAACCCCAAGGGACTTGCACACACATTTGAGTCTGGGAAGCAGTGAGATGGGTTATAAGCCTTCTACTACTGCCCAGAAAGCCCAACACTCTGCAAGCAGTAAATGCTCAGCCGATGGGTCTCAAGAGGAAGGAGACAGCCCCAGAATGGAATACATGTTTCCCGCATAAACAAGCCCAGAGAGTAATTAATAAAATCAGCGGGCCTGGAATGCGAGACAGTGAGGCCGAGCCTGGTTACCCCAGGCATCCTGGAGCCTGGATGGTGGGCAGGGGGTTCTGGGTGTGGGTAGCAGGCAGAGGACTGAAGGAAGGGATGAAGAACAAGCAGGGATGGCAGAGCAGTTAAATAGGTGGAAATTCCACACACATGGAGCTAAAAGGGCACTGGGGAAGCTTGGTCTGGCCCCCTGGAAGGGACTATCTCGATCATCTCACCTGCCCAGGACAGCCTTCAGATGAGATAACTGAGCCCCAGGGGGAGATAAGAGTCACAGCTGAGTCAGAGCTGCAGCTGCCCAGCCCAAGGATCTGGGAAGAGAGTCTCCAACTTCACAATATCAAAAAAAATCCTAGTAGCTAACAATTTCTTATGCCAACTAAAGATTCTAAAAGCAGGAAGAACCACCTCTCAATGTGCAGGAGTCCTTTTCAAGAAAGGGTGACTGTCAACCCTCACCCACATCATTGTCATGGGCTGGTAAAAACTGAGGCAGGCTGGCATTAAGGAACCCCTGCCTTGCCCCACAGCATGACCCTCCTGGCTGGGATAAGACTGAGATGCATGCTAAAGGAGAATCAGAAAAAACAAAATAATGCCAGACAGTAATGATGGGTTTTAATTAGCTGGACAAAGACGAAAAGAATTAGCTCCCGGGGAGGAAATAGAAAGGTCACATTTAAAAATAAGACCTAGGTTGAAAGCATGCAAACCTTGTGGGCCACAAAGCGCACTCCAAGGTGCACGCCACCGGAAACCCACCCAGCCAAGCACTTGCATGGCAACCATGCTCCTTCAGGAGCGGCAGCTGAAGGTGTAGGGACTATCACCTACCCAGCAGTGAACAAGACTGAATGTGTAGGTTGAACCTTATGAATTTGCTTTTTATAGGTCAAAAACAGTTGATTATTAGCAATGACACATGGCTGAATTACATATACCTAGGTGAGTCTCTCAAGCATACAATGACCAAAGAAGCCAGATCTAAGAGACTATGCAGTATGATTCCATTCATGTAAGTTCAAGTTGGAAAGCAAGAATCCAGGGACTAGGGGTGAGGGAAGATGGTTGGGGGGGAGAGACGGGGTGACTCAAAGGACATACGAGGAGCTTCTCAGTCTAGATGTTAGTTACACAAGCATGTCCACCTGAGAAGAATCCTTGGAGCTGTCACTTATGACTGTGCACACTTCTTATGGGACTCGATACAGTACACAGAAACATTCAGGTGGGAAAGCACGGTCCAGTCTCGGTCCTGATTAGCAAGTAGACCAGAGTCAGGCAATAACCTCCCCGAGCCCCCAAATAATAACAACAATCACAAGACAAGAAGCAGAGCCTTGACAAGACAGGAGGGAGGTGGCCACATCCAGGATGGAATGTCCGTCTTAGAAGAGGGACCAGCCAGGAACCCACCCACAGGAAACCTAGAGACCACCTTAAAATCTCTTATTAGGAGGGCCGGCCGAGTGGCACGATGGTTGGGAGCTGGCTTGGGACGCCAGAGGGCCCCGGTTCGGATCCCACATATGAGGGCCAGTGACACTGCCCTCCACAGCTAAGATGCTGAACAACAGCTGAACCTGGAGCTGGGCTGCCGTGAGTCGCCGGCGACGGCGTAGGCTGCAGCCCCTGCTGCAGTGGGTTGCCATGGGCTACCGTGTGTAGCCAGCAGCCAGCGTGAGCGGCCAGCAGCCGCCGTGAGCGGCCGTCCAGAAGCCGGCGACTGATCTGCCTCGCCCGGGAAGAGTGCAATGATGGTGCCAACTTGGGCCAGTGAAGCAACGTCCTCCACAACTAGACTGAAGAACCAAAATGACAGCAACTTGTCTGTTCCCCTTCCCCCAATTCCCCAGCACTGTTCCCTTCCCCCCAATACCCCAATAAAAATCTTAAAAAAAAAAAAATCTCT